GAAGAGGCGGAAAGATTGTAAGCACATTTTGCGACAAGCTCAAACTTATATCAAGACACTTTTTGTTTTTGTTATGATTAGTTTGACTATTTGACGGACATAATTCTACGAATGGGTTGGTTTAGTTATTCAGTTACTGTTAATCTTTCGTCGGTGCAGATGCAGATTAAAAGTTAGCGTTAGTTATGAGCTCTAGAAAGTATAAATGTTTGACGATTGCTGAAAAGAAAAAGTTAATCGGAAAAGTAGAAGATGGTGTGAAGCAGAGTGATGTTGCAAAAGAATTTAAGGTTCCTCTGAGTACTCTCTCAACAATAATAAAGCACAARGAGAAAATTAATGCTCCGCAAACTSCTGAAGTACGGAAAAGAACTACTAAAGGTGAATTTCTTCGCCTGGAAGAAAGCCTGACCATTTGGCTAAGACAGTGTAGAGGACAAAATGTGTMTATTWGCGGGAACTTGTTGAAGGAAAAAGCAAAAGAGTTSGCGTCTACTCTAAGCATCAAAAATTTTGCGGCAAGTGAAGGGTGSCTTACAAATTTCAAAAAGAGAAATGGAGTTGTTTTTAAAAAGGTTTGTGGGGAAAGTGGCTTTATTTKTCTTTACAACATCACGATTCACAGTTCCAGATTTTTGGTAGTAGAGGTCAAAGCAGTGTTATTAAAATTTCACATTGTTATTCAATTGCATTACAAAAATTATTAATTATAAAGTTTATATTGTACAAGTTGTGCAAAGAGTTGGATTATAGTTGAACCGTTATATACATATTTATTGAAGAATCTACTGTTACAATAATATCAATCGTTACGGTGCTAAAAATATTTACATACTTCCAATTAATTCTCTTAATTGTTGTCTTAAACAACTTAAGGAATTAGGTGGGTTTGAAAATTTCAAAAAATCGATKTTTAATTTTAKGTCTTATYAAATAGTACAATACGTTTAAAATATTCTCCCAAAATTTTAGATCGGTTCGTGTAAGAGATAGACMGTTCGGAAGTTCCGCCCACCAGGCCACGTCGGTATAGCGCACCGCAGGTATAATGCATTTTACTCAAAACTCCTTTTTTGAAGTCGGTAGACACGATTTATCGAAAAGTTATGAACATCTTCAAAATAACATTATCTAGTTATTAAACGAATGATTTTTTTTTCATCACAACTTATATTTTAAGCTAATAAATGGGTAAAATTTGAGTAAAAAATTAGAATTATTGTTCAAAGTTTTTTTTTAAAGAGACTTACGTATGTACCAACGAAATATATTTGGTTTTTCAATTTTAGGTGAACGAATAATAAATTATGCTGCCCACGGCGAAAGMACTTTTATGTGAGACACCCAGGAAGATGAGGTCTCAAGGCTGAATGTTCAACATTTTTGTATCAAAATTTCAGGATAAATTGTACAAATATGTACCTTTGCCATGCCATATAATATTTTTGAAATTAATGATTGTTTATATAAGAAATCGTAATCTTAAAAATACCTTGTTTTTGAACCTCTGAAACCCACCTAACCCGTTATATGTCTTCCCATTGGATAAGAGAGAATACGCATACGTTAACTATATGAACAAAATTCTAAGTGGTTTTATTGATAATAACATAGTGGCGTTATATACACGGACTTTGATAAAGCTTCCACAGGGTCAATTATATTATACGCTAAACAAGTAAGGAAGGGCTAAGTTCGGGTGTCACCGAACATTTWATACTCTCGCATCAAATACCGTATTTGTGTAAAGTTTTATTCMGCTATCATCATTKKTTCCTAATGTATATATTATWCAGAGAAGGCAYCAGATGGAATTCMAAATAGCGTTATATTGGAAGAAGGCGTGGTTGTGAACCGATTTCACCCATATTTCGTGGATGTCATCAGGGTGTTAAGAAACTATTATGTACCGAGTTTCATTGAAATCGGTAGAGTAGTTCCTGATATATGGTTTTTGGTCCATAAGTGAGCGACGCCAGGCCCATTTTCAATTTTTAAAAAAAGCCTGCTTGCAGCTTCCTTGTTTCTGACGTTTTTTGTTACTCGGTTAACGCACTTTTAGTGATTTTCAACATAACCTTTGTATGAGAGGTGGGCGTGGTTATTATCCGATTTCTTCCATATTTGAACTGTATATGGAAATGAAAATCCTGAATGAAACAACTCTGTAGAGTTTGGCTGACATAGCTACAGTAGTTTCCGAGATATGTAAAAAAAAACTTAGTAAGGGGCGGGGCCACGCCCACTTTTCCAAAAAAATTACGTCCAAATATGCCACTCCCTAATGCGAGCCCTTGTGCCACAATTTCACTTTAATATCTTTATTTATGGCTTAGTTATGACACTTTATATGTTTTCGGTTTTCGCCATTTTGTGTGTGGCAGTGGCCCGATTTTGCCCGTCTTCGAACTTAGAACTTAGAAATACGAGTACCAAGCTTCATCATGATATCTCAATTTTTTCTCAAGTTACAGCTTGCAAGGACGGACGGGCAGACAGACATCCGGAGTATAAAAACATAGGGGAAAAAAAGACGTTAATTATTCCCATGTACCATCCACGTACGTTTTAAGAATAAAATGGGTTTTTGTGTTTCAGATGATCCAAACATGAGAAATCGTGTCCGCCAGTGAAAAAACGCATTTCTTTCGCCCAGCCGAAATTCCSAAAAAAAWTATTTATACACTSCACGATATACCCCATGATATGTGAAAAAAGTTCTATCTATAATATTCAAATGAATCCCAAAATGTGTTGCTAAGCGCATAACTCAACAACGCCTGGACCAATTCTTTTTTTTAAATGTTCGCTGAAGTTCAAAGATGGTTTTTACGGCCAGGAAAATTCAAAGAAGAGCCGGAAACATTAAAAACAGCCTTTTCTTTTTTCCATAGAAACGTTTGTATATAAAAATGAATATTTGTTTGTTAGTAACGCTAAGGCTGATCCAATCTTGATGAAATTTTTAGAGATTATTCTTTGTGGATCTGGGAAGGTTTAGAAATAAAAACCCCTTATACTTTGACTTTTTTCCATACACATTTTTTTTTTAATTTTTGTTTGTTTTGTTTTCCAATTGATTTATTTGTAATTTTTGGTCGTTTGCTTTCTTTATTTCGGCTATTGAAAAGGTAAATTATTGAAAATTATTCAGTGAAAACTTTATGTGTGTTTAATACAAAGTGATCAATTACAGATTTAAATTTGTTACGATACCACGAGGTGATCGCGCTAATATTGACAGCTCAAAGCACATGCACTAGTTCTCAAAGAATGCGATGCATACGTGCGGAATTATGGATCGCGATCAGTTAGCAAGCGATCGTCACCATGTCACACCACGACTTTTTAAACAACAGCTTTGATATTCGATGAGCTTCATCTTGGGGTAATGAAGGAATATCTGGTGCTGTTAAATGAGTTGWGTTGCAAAAAAGAGGTTTGCCGCACGCACACATTCTTCTTTGGTTGGTGGATGTTGGTTACACCTGATGAAATTGATGAAATCATTTCTGCGGAAATTCTTGATCCAGAGATAGATAAAGAATTATACGAAGTGGTGAAAACCAATATGGTTCATGGGCCTTGCGGTCTGTATATCTGACAATAAATGCACGAAACACTGTACACRTGCTTTTCTTTCGGAAACACCAACTGGAAATAATAAAGAARGCAACATGGTGGTTATTGACCTTGAACGAGATGAGATCGATGTGTGAACTGCAATGAAGTGGTTTGAAAGATATTTGCTTTTGCAATWCATAAACGTTTTCCGACTGTTGTGCATCTCGCAGTTCATTTGGAGAAGATCAAAGAATGCATTTCAAATCACAAAGTCGACATTGACGAGTTTTTTCTCAACTTACATACAGTGTGTACGACTTTTCTTAGAAGCATGGCAGCAATTGCAATTGCTGGAACATGATAATCACTAGAAACAAACGATGGACAGTGCAGTAGCTACTTCGCATGCCACTAAAGGTCGTACGATACGAACAAAAATGACATTGCGGAGAACATTTTTCATCGTACTTTTTCTTTTTGTCAATTCACTWCAACGAAAGATATACTYATCACGAGTGTTTGTCCAAACATTGACTAAATTATCGTAACTACGATTGCTTGAGAGCACGCGCAATTTTAGCTTCCAAAAATACTGATGTTAATGACTTCAACTAGAAAATTCAAAGCCAAATTACGGGAGGTTTGCGCTCATACATATCGATCGATCGTCTTGGCAATGAAGCCGTGAATTATTAAGTTTAATTTCTAAATTCTTTGGAGAGGCCGAAGCTGTTTAATGGAACCCGACTGATTGTGACGCAGCTATCAAACACAAGGGGACCGAATACTTGATTCTACGAATTCCTTTGATTCCAACGATTTGCTATTTCAGTCCACAAGGGAAACTATCTACTTTGTACATTTACGCACCGTAACTGAAACCAAAAAATGTTGTTTATAAAGCTGCGCTACGTGAAAAAAAAAATGTAGGAAATTCGCAAATAAATGACTTTCAACATAAGATAAATTCAACTTTCTTTTAATTTCAAAACACATAATTTAACACAAGACAACGCCTGCGGGGTCAGCCAGTTGTAGAATAAAAATTTGTACAAAAAAATATCAAAAAAAAAACAGGACAGATTACCTTACTGACCCCTTAATGTCGAAATTTGCGAGCACTTGCGAGAGTATACAATGCTCGATTGTTTCCTARTTGTTAACAGTAATATTTATTATTTTGAATTATAAACATTTTTAAGTTTAATTTAATTCTGCATTAATCCGTGCTTTAGTCAGGAACAGTACYGATTTATTTAAAATTCACTGGATGGATTTCAAATTCAAAGTGACATTTTTTATAACAGCTTATTTTGTCGTGTGCTATGTTCCTAACAGTTAATTAGAAACTAAGGTTGTTGGTAAACGAGATAAATATTATTATTAACTCACCCCTCTCTAAAAATTGGTTAATATTTATAAGATTTGTTTTATAGCAAGAAGCTAAGCAACCGAGTGCTTTGAAAATGGCCAGTATGACCAGAAGACGTTCCTCAGCAGCATCTACATGTTCATATAGCTCAGGTTAATTTGCTCTTTTAAAATTTACTTAAAATAATGAAAGTTTTTATAAATACTTAGCATGCTATACTGGTAGCTCAGATGAAGATAATGTGTCCCCGCGCGAAAACAGGCAGAGCAACAGCACAGGTAGTTCAGATTTTTGTGTAAAAAATATAAATGCACAACAAGCTTTCGGAAGGAGAGAAATCGAAATAGCAGAAAAAGAAATGCCGGGGATATTGGCATTGCGAAAGCGCGCTTCAGAGGATAAGCCCCTCAAAAATGCACAGATTGTGGGTTGCACACATATAAATGCCCAAACAGCTGTGCTTATTGAAACATTAGTTGAATTAGGAGCTTCCGTTCGCTGGGCAGCATGTAATATATACTCCACACAGGTATGTATGTATTATGCTGAATTAGATATTGATTATAGTTGAAACAAAAATGCGAGCTTTAGTCTTTCGTACTTTTGATAGAAAATGTTGTAAATATATGGATCAAAGTAACAGCAGATCTCCATAACAAACTTTCCAGGCAGTTTTCATCAAAAATCATGGTCTGCAGTATAAACTCAACTTATTACATAAGTATTACAGCTTTGAACATTAGACTGTAAAAAACAAAGTTTTTCTCTCGATCCCACACAATTTGTCAATCGCTCAAACAAAGGTGCTTTGAAACACGTCTATGGCGTTGTAAAAGGTGATGAATCTAGGATTTACCCATTTGAGCTGCAAAATAAACAGCAGTGGAATGTACGGTGTTTCAAAATGAGCTGAATCCAACAAAAGTTGTTCACGCACGAAGCACTTCCAAATAGTTGCCTGTTTTTTGGAAAAACGGGACATGATCACTGTTTACTACGACAATGTTAGCTATCACACATCGACTGTGACCACTGCATTTTAGAGCACTCATAACATAGATTTGATTTGTTATTCTCCATATAGCCCTGACTTCTCACCTAATGACTTCAAGAGGCATGTTTTGGAGAATCAAAGACCAAATATACTTCGACAATTGATTCAAACGCATGCGAAAGTTTATATTGTAGATCTTAATGGAGAATATTTTGAAAAACAATAAATCGATTTTTCGATGTTTAAAATTTGTTGCCCTCGAATCGAAATATAATAGGACCTACGTATAAGTAATTAGCAAATGACAAATCATTCGAACGAATTTAAGAAATTAATAATGCAAGACAAATAGCAACTTATAGTAAGTGGCCGAAATCAGTATATAATATCGCAGACTTTCCAAAGACAAAATGTATACTTTGTTGTAATTTGTTTGACTCTTACATATTCGAGCAAATAGGAATTAATATATCCTCATGTTATGTATATATCTTTCCTATACATAAAGTCACTCTTTGTCTGCATATAGACATGCATATAGACATGTTCGCAAATCTATTTATTCCCATATTATACATAATAGAATGCGGTAGCTGCAGCGCTTGCGGAGGTTGGTATTCCCATATTTGCATGGCGTGGTGAGACTGAAGAAGATTTCTGGTGGTGCCTTGACAAATGTGTCAACTCTGAAAATTGGCTTCCAAATATGATACTGGATGATGGTGGCGATGCCACTCATTTAATGTGGAAGAAATATCCAATTATTTTCAAGGCGATTAAAGGCATTGTCGAAGAGAGTGTGACTGGTGTTCATAGATTGTATCAATTGGTGAAGACAGGAAAACTAACCGTGCCTGCAATAAATGTTAACGATTCCGTAACAAAAGCAAGGTTCGACAACTTCTATAACTCAAAAGATTCAATTTTGGACAGGTATGTCAATTTCGTAACTTCAACGAAAGTATAAAAAGAATAAACATATCACTTCTAGCCTGAAAAGATCAACAGATATTATGTTTGCTGGCAAACAAGTAGTTGTTTGCGGCTATGGGGATGTTGGAAAAGGTTGTGCACAAAGTCTTCGAGGACAAGGCTGCATAGTCTATGTAACCGAAATTGATCCAATATGTGCGTTGCAAGCAAGGTAAGTGCTTAAATACCATAAGGACAGCATTTAATTTGAAAAATTTGTACATGTTTCAAGTATGGATGGATTTCGCGTAGTTCGCTTAAATGAAATTATTCGTCAAATGGACATTGTTGTTACGGCTACTGGCAACAAAAATGTGGTTAACCGAGAGCACATGGATCGTATGAAATCGGGTTGCATTGTTTGTAATATGGGACATTCTAATACCGAGATCGATGTGGTATGTGTTTTTGTWTGTTTTCCCTTTTTTTCCTCTTTCTAAATAAATGACAAAAAACTTTAGAATAGTTTGCACTCTGCTGAACTGTCGTGGATGAGAGTGCGCTCTCAGGTAGACCACGTAATTTGGCCCGATGGTCGAATAATTATCCTTTTAGCAGAAGGACGTCTTSTTAATTTGGCTTGTTCGTCGGTTCCATCATTTGTGGTATCAGTTACAGCTGCAGCGCAAGCGTTGGCTCTCATAGAGTTATTCAATGCACCGGTTGGTCGTTATAAATCTGATGTCTACCTGTTGCCTAAAAAAATGGGTATGAATGAGATTGAGTATTTAAATATTCGTTTTATGTTGGAATTTGATATGTTTCAGATGAATATGTCGCAAGTTTACATTTACCCATACTAGATGCTCATTTGACAGAACTTACCGATGAGCAAGCCAAGTACCTAGGTCTAAATAAGGCTGGGCCATTTAAGCCTAACTATTATAGGTATGTTATCTACATACACAATATTCGGAAAAATTTTGAAGTATATATGTATGTATATTTTTTTTTAGATATTAAATATAATAAGCCTTTAGTAACAAACCCTTGTTACATACTATATACATGCACGTATGTATAGCTATATGATTATTATTGTATTACATATATTTTATATCTGTATGAGCCAAAAGCTGATATACGTGTGAGCTATTCTAATTTGGTTGCAAAAATATAACTTCCATGTTAACATCGAGATCATTGTATAATTAATATAGGAATGGAAAAGGTAAGTAATTGCATGATATTGAAGATATCAAGACGACAACTATATTATGAAAATAAACACAAATCCAATAACAACTTACAGCGGTTAGAAGTCATTTAATATAAAAACGTATCAATTGAAACGCCAATTCAATACTTTTTTATTAGTAACATTTATAAGTGTTCTTCAAGATGAGTCAGATGACCGTTCTTTATTCAATTCAAAATGAGACTGTCGCTTACATTTTAAAATAAATTTTTTACATTTAAAAAAATATGGTGATGACAGCTCGGCCTTTCCTTCAGTCGTCGCGAGTTATTCATCATTATTCATGTTCAGGATCACCATCATCGTCTATTTCTGGAAACAAGGCACACCACGGTTTCATCTTGTTGGATTTTGTAATTTGACTGTAGTGACGTTGCGTTCGCTGCATGCCTTCGATATCTTCAACGACGCACAATGGGGCAGCAGACCAGAAAAGTTGGCAAAAACTAWTTTTTTCAAAATAGCCGGTAGCACTTTTCGTTTATTGCTTTGGATTTATGAATATACTAGCAACAATGAACCAACGGTTTTTCAATGTCATTYTCACCACCTCTCTTTTTAGAGCCTTACAAACACAGAGCTTATTTTCGCAATAAGTACAGKTTGATTTTTGTGAATTTTCTATTCACAGTTTGAATATATATTTTCCAGTCGCTGACTATAATTCAGCACCYTTAATTATGGAACCATCAACATCGGGTATTTATAAAGATTCACTTATATTCACTTTGTACGTAATTGTGATTTTCACATTTTGGTCGTTTTTTTYGGAAACCTACCTTAATAWGTTTATTTTCCTACAGTTTATGTTTTAAAAATTGGAAAAGTTAGTGAGCCCGGCATGATCGGCCGGAATTTTTTTAATTATCCTGTAATATGTGTATTTATGTACTTAATTGGAAAAAAAAATTGTGCGGATTTTTTGCGTTTTGGCATTTGCTCGCATTTATGTATGTGCCTATGTACTACCTTTTGTTGTAGTTTAGTTCGAAGATTTTTATCTTGTTTTGATTATTTGTTTGTCAAACGTCAACTACAAGTACAAATGTGAACTGCATTGATCTTTATTATTTTAGTTGTAAATCGTCAAATAGAATCCAGTGTTGCCATATTATTTGAGTAAGGTGGAAATCCAGGTCTCCATGCTGTCTACTTGTCCACAAATGTATGTCCGAAATCAGTCGGTAGGTCCACCGGCCTTTGCATGAAGTTTGCCACCGTGCCTGCCACATTGGAATGCTTTCTCTTCTCTCTTATCTTTTTACTGTGGTAGACGTCTCTGATAGGTTATATATTCGAGCGAATTCATTTCCCTGGATGTCAAACCTGTCTCTTATACACATCTAGATGTGTATAAGAGACAGGTATTGTGTTGAGCGAAAAATTTGTTTGACAAAATCCTGCTCCATCTTCGACGCGCTATTGCAGGCCTTTGAAAATTGAATTTATTAAGGAATCCTCTGAAGTTTCAATAGCKKAGAAAAACAGAGTTACTGAAGAGATTGGAAMTCTTAAAAAATCTAGAACGATATGTGATGGAAAATCTATAGAAGTTGAGCACGCTTTACTTTTTACTATGGTGGATGGGAAAGTTTGTGATGCGATAACCCAGACGACATCCACTCAAAAGTGCTACAGATGTTCCTCTTCATTTTGGATCGCTGCTAGCATCAAGTTACCAATTAAATCACGTAAGGGAAAGTCGTATATCAAATCAATCGGCGCAAACTTCGTTGTCGCGTTCACCTTAGTATTTAAGGACCATTGCAGCATACAAACATGCATATCCCAATCTTACGCCTCACTGGTCGATGCTCTCAAAAATGCCAATACTGCTTGATTAACCCGTTCTGCCAAACCTTTCGAACGTAGTGTACGCACAGCTACCTTAATATGTTGTATCTTGTTTACATCGTACTAGATATATCTCCTACCTTTTCGTGCCCTCTTATTCGTGCACGACTTAGAGCATCAACGTGACTCATCGTTGACCCGGCTCGATGTATTATGTCATAGTCGTATTCCAACAATCGTAGTAGCCAACGCGCTACTTTCGTAATCATAGGTTTTGACATCTTTGCTGTTGTCATCGCCTAACAATCTGTTACGATAGTAAAACGTTTACCCAGCAAGCCCTTCTAGCTCGTATGCATGCCAATTCTTCTCCTGTTGCATACATGCCGTACTGTAATACCATTTTCATCTACCTGGTGCTCTAGAAAAGTAGCCTAACTTCTCATGAATGAACACTTTGATAACCTTAGCATTAATCCTTCCTTCTGAACGATTTCTAAAAACTCTTCTATACATATGTAGCTTACAACTGTTTTATTCAACAGTGCAAGCAGCTGAGTCATATTTTTTTGGGATGTACACGGAGCATTCCGCAAACTAAATGGCATTCTATTGAACTCATAACGGCCATTGGGCGTTACAAATGCGGTAAAAGGTTTTGCGTCTTCTTCTAATTCAATTTGGTAGTAGCCAGACATTAAATTCAACGTGGTGAAAAACTGTTTACCAGACAGTATTGCCAAAACGCCATCAAATGTCGGCATCAATCACGGTTGTTTTTCAATTACAGCATTTAACTCACGGAAATCGACGCACAACCTGTCCTCCCCATTTTTCTCACGCACCATAGCTACTGGTGATGCATATGTGGATACAGATCTACACACAATTCCCAAATGCATTTACTCATCTACGATTTCCTCAACAACACGCTATTTAGGAATTGGAATATTATATGGTTTTTTATATATTGGCTTCGATGACGTTCATTTGATATTCATTCTGAATCGCCTTGATATACCCAGTTCAGGTAACTTTTCACCGAAACAATTCGCGTATACATTCACCATTTCAACTAACTTTTGCTCCATCCCTATCCTTAACTCAGCACCGATATATATGACATCCCTTTCAGTTCGCATAATTGTACACGTGCCTTCTTCAATGACTACAATGCTTTTGGATAGGAAATCAATACCAACAATTGCTTCGTAAGTCATCACTGAGTTGTCTACTATTCATAATTCTACAGATCGTGTAATTTTTTTCATTGTGATATGCACTAACATTTTTGCGTGGCAGGTAATCTGACTACCTTCAAAAACAATTAATCTTTCATCGCACGCAGTGATACACAAACCACACTTTCTTGCTATTGATTTCCTAACCAGTGATCTCCTACTGTCAATTAGAGCCTTGCACCTTACTTTTTCGTTGCCCAAAATTTCAATGTCAATGCACAACTCTTTGCACTGAGTTTCTAGGATTTTATTCACTGATTTTTTTCAACTTCTACTCTTTTAAAACTTTCTGAACTTTCACTATCCTTTATTCGATGCACTCTCTCATTCTGTTTAACCTCTCTCTTTTTCCGGGGCTTCACACAATACATTGCAATATGCCCTCTTTCCTGGCAATTTGGGCTGCTTACCCTACTTGCCACTTCTGACGTTTGTTTGTATTGAAATTCATGAAGCTAAAAATTATTCTCCCCGTTCAGTCTTAAATTCAATAGCGATTGCAATAAATCAGAACACTTAGTAAACTTCATTGCATTTAAAACCTTACTTAAGTTATCATCCATTAACCCATTAATAATATATCGTACGATTGGCATATCGACAATATTATCCCTTCGGAATATTGCTAGCATTTTATAATAAAATTCATCAATTTTCTCAATCTTAACCCTTTTCATATTCACCTTTCTTAGATGTGTGCCTGCAAAATTTCTAACGCACGGAAAATCTGCCATAAAAGAAACTACAAAATCACTCTAGTCACGATATACTGGCTGTGCATCAGCCCACCGCTTAAAGTGCCCATACACGACACACAAGTGCGTTCGATCGGTATGTGTGCGCATGCGGTTTACTCGTGTATGGGTTTGTGCGCGTGCTGATCCATGTTCGCGAAAATGTTTGATTTTTTACGATCGGTATGCGCACATGTGTGTCGTGTTTTTTTTTTTATAGGAGGAGGAAGCTTCGAAAGACGGAGTGCGGGGCGCTAAAAATAACCTACTCCCACCTCATATCTTCCCCACGAGACCACTGGACAAAGTATTACTTCATGGGAGTGAAGAAGACGTTTAATTACATTTGCCGCTGACAGCTTTCCACTTTACAGAGGACTCGCACATAAGTGCTGTCAAATTTTCCACCGTAATACTACCTCCAAGGGTGGTTTTCAGTTTTTCCCTTATACTTGAAAACTGCGGGCAATAAAAGAAACGGGTTTAAAGTCTTCTATAGACTGTGTACACGTCGGACAGTATTGACTAAAGTCATGACGATACTTGAATAGGTATCTTCTGAAGCTACCATGATCACTGAGTATTTGAGTAAGGTGGAAATCCAGGTCTCCATGCTGTCTACCTGTCCACAAATGTATGTCCGAAATCAGTCGGTAGGTCCACCGGCCTTTGCATGAAGTTTGCCACCGTGCCTGCCACATTGGAATGCTTTCTCTTCTCTCTTATCTTTTTACTGTGGTAGACGTCTCTGATAGGTTATATATTCGAGCGAATTCATTTCCCTGGATGTCAATCGGCGCCATACTGGCTAATACCTCAGCAGCGCCACTTGAAATGGTTCGGAAAGCACTTATCACACGTATTGCTGAAAGCCTATGCACTGTGTTAATTGGTCTAGCATATTTTATTTGCTTTACTTGTCCCATTTTCCAAGTGGTCCTTGAACTTTAGTCTTGAGTCCACTGTTACCCCGAGATACTTCAAGTGCGGCTGTGAAGTAATCTCACATTCTCCTATGGTCAGTGATATTTTCTCCTCAATTTTCCTTGAACTTATGAGCAGGACTTCTGTTTTCTGCTCAGCCAGCTCTAGACTCATGTTGTTAAACCATCGGCGCAGACCATTTATGCTGTCATTGCATTTGATYCGGAGGTCATCCAGATGTTTAGCTAC